CAATTTAGATCCCTTGTGGCTCTAGAATGAGCTCTGCTGTCCGAATCAGAGGTTAAAACAGCCAAAACAAATTTCGTACCTTTAACATAAAGCTAAATTTCCTCACATCTCTCAGAAAAAGAGCAGCACTGCTGCCTGTCCTCGTCACCAGAGAGCTTATCTAAATCAAATTTAACAGGGACTGAGCAGAGGCTTGGGTCCATTTTCAGAGTCCTGAAAATTCAAACACTAATGTATAAATTCTGTGTGGTTTCAAAACATTGGGTGGAGAATAAGCAACCATGGAAGGCTGTGACCTTCCCAACTGACTTTTAGCTTCAGTTCAAAAATGCCTGCTTTGTGTGGAATAATACAGAGGATTCTGTATATTAAGTGACAGATGCACTATTTTTATCCACAGGAAACAGCAATTGGCATTTCATTACAGATGCTCTCACCTCACACTCATTGAAATGTTCTATTTCAGGCATCACAGAGAACAGCAGAGCACACATGGACTTGAAGGAACTATCCTTTCCCAAGGTCCTAAGGAGATGGTAGTGGGGAAAGGGGATTAAAAATGTAGGAAATCATACACATTATAAGAGACAAGCAGAACAAATGACAAAAATAGCTGTTGTCAGCCTAGGCAGAATTTAACCAGCTAGTGTGTGTTTACATGAGTTATTTTACAGAAGAACAGAGTTCCCAGAGGCCCTGGTTTGGCTGAAGCTGAATTCTGTGGCATATTCTGCTTTCATGTTGCTGTGCTGAAGAGTTGCCCAAAGCTGCTGCATGGAAGTCCCCAGGCACCTTGCAGCCAGAAAGGTGTTTCCTCTTAAAGGCACAAGCTCTGCTGAGAATCATCTCTAGTGTGAGAGGCATCATTGCTGGGTACTCTCCCAGCAAACAGTTGCAACTGTGATCTCAGTCTGTAACTTGGCTGAAAATCCCAATTTCTCTACACCCTCTCCCATGTGTGCACCACAGAGAGTACAAATACTGCAGTTTAAACTTCAAAGCCTGTAGTTCTTTCTCCTCTGCTGGATATGGGTATAAGCTGTTATTTGCCAAGAAAACATGGCTGTAGGTTTGTCATCACCTTTTTATAATTTCTTTTATGAGTAGAAACTAGGAAATGGTGATACAGCTTTAATTTTTTTAGTTAAAAAAGTGGCATACATTTTTTTACCTATTGACTCACTGGATCCTAAAATGTTTCAGGGTTTTAAGTAAGAAAAAGAAGAAAACACTGGAGGCTATTCCATAGAAAGCTGCTGCTGGTGTAGCATCCTGTGATTGCTATGGCTAGATTATTTAGAATAAATATCTTCATATGTTTGCCCTGTTGTTCTAGATCCTTCCCTTAGGTTCTAGTGTTGTGGACAGAATATTAATCTGAGCCTGTGTGATCCCTCTTGCAGTCTTAGATTGAAGTGTGTGCATCCTTCTGTGCCTTGGAATGAGCTTGCCAAGGCATGTAGCAACTGCTGAGTGAGAGCTGTGCCATGGGCTGGGAAGAGGAGCCTCCCCCTCCCTATGGGAAGGAGTTTGTACCAGCTGCAGTGCTTTTGGCAAGGACAAGCAGCCAGGCTACTGAGTGACAGTGTCCTTTGCCTGTTAGCACTTAGAGGGAACTTTTATTTCCTGAGCTGGAAGCTAGCGTGTTTACTCTGTCAGTGGTATCCAGCACCAGCTTCTTTCAGAAACCCCATCTTGGCTTTTTTTAAAAAATCCGAAGAGGTGCAGTGTGTCTGCCTTGCTGGTTTTGGTGCTGTCAGACACTCTGACCTGTGCAGGACAGACAGGAGCAGTGAGGCCCCGGCTGTCAGTCACACCTCCAGCAGCAGCACTCACACCTCGTCCCCTGCTAGTCCTGAGGTCAGAGTGGCTCTCGCGTTTCTGTGCTGGGAAGTCTGCAGTGGACACCCCAGGTGTCTCTTTCAGCAGGTCACTGATGTCACTGCTGCCGCTCACACTGAAGTGCCCTGTGTGCCCGGCCTGCAGCTGTCCCTGCCAGGCTTGGGACAAAGCTCTCCATCAGAGGAGCTGGAGCCATGCTTGGGGAACAGCCCAGGGATACAGGATGGCATCCTGATGGCTGCTGTCACCTAGAGTTTTCTCAAACCAAGAGAGAGTGGTCCCAGAGTTGCTGTTACATTCCAGTAAACCTTCCCTACAATCTTTCTTTTGAGTCAGCAGCATATTCCTTCATCTGTGTCTTCAGTGAGCAAAAATGGGCAGTAGAATCTATTTATACACTTAGCTGAGTTCAGCAAGTTGCTCTGGCTGAAGCAGAATTTGGGGAGAGAAGGAGCAAGCCTGGAAAAATGATGAAATTGCTCTTTTCTTGAATTCAAAAATAAAAGCTTTTAAAATATAGGGGAGGCTTGGGAGGGAACTGTTTTCTGCAGCAATGGCCACTACCTGGTGCAGTGTGCTGTCACCTCCAGGCTGCTCTGGTGCTGGCATTTACTCATTGTGCTTATTCCCTGCACCTTGTTTTGTGCCTATCCTGACTGTGCTGAAATATCAACCTCAGCCTTGCAGTTGTTTCTCTTAAGGTCTTCTGGGAATTTTCTCATACTGGAAGGTTTTGGGTATTTGTTGTGCATGCATTTTTTATGTTCCTTTTATTGATTTTTTGAAAGGGTATCAGGTATCCTCCTGATATTGGGAACTACTGGGGTGTGAAATAATTTCCCAGGAGAAGTGGCAGAAAGCCTTAGTATCTGAGATATTAAAAGGTGGATAAATTTAAGACTAGAGGGTAATAATTTTGCATTAGCAAGAAAATGACTGAATGATTTAAAATTAGTAATTCCTGTTCCTCTCCCATACATAGCATGGCCTGCAAAATGTTCTGCAAAAAAAAACCTGGAAGCTACTTTTTTTTCCTGGTGATTGTCAGATGGAAGTTTTAGGTACAAACACATTTGATTTTAAGAAGTACTGCTACCAAAGCTGCATTTGAAGATGTGAACAGCCTGTTCAGCCTGTCAAGTACTTGTAAATTCTATTAGGACCTAGTATGCTAGATGATAATAGGGAGTCCTATAAAGAGGAAATACTCGGAAAAATGCACTGGGACAGTTGTCCTTTCAAGCTTTTCTTATTACAGGGAGTACGTAGATTCCCTCCCTCAAGTCTCTCTGAAGGACTGGCCTTGGGGGCAGAACTGCAATCAATGTCATATAAACAAGCAGAAACTTCACACTGAGAACACACAGATACAGAAAATTCAACATTTTTAAGGCGTCAAAACCAAACATTGCATTTTCTTGTGTTGTTCCGGCCCTGGACAGACTTTAGTTTTCCCTGATTTTTTGTTTGCCCTGGACAATGCCCTTCACTGTCTGTGCAATTCCTTAAACGATCAGAGGATGCTGGATGAGAGAGAGCTGAGTGTCCTCTCTGCTCCAGAACAGGAGCAGTGAGACACTAGCTCTGATAAAAACATCAGTGGTGTCTCCCTGACCAGGTGTGGGCTATGGAAACACAGTAAATCAGCTCTGCAGCACAGCTTTGTTCATGTACTCAGCCTTCCCTCCATGCCAAGCTTTAAGATTGCTGGATCAAAGTGGAGCTGGGCCCAAGTCCAAACTTCCCCCAACTTGAGGGGAACTTGGATCCATATCCCAACTCTGGGACTTGGCTCTGCTTCTAAATCAAGCTCCCATAATCTCTTGGGAAAAGGCAGACCTATGAATTGTCCACTAAGTTACTGAAGGGCAGCCAAAGCTTCTTGTCGCTGAACACATTTGCTCTGCCTGCCCTGTATTGCCAGTAAAGGAGTTTAGGTGAAGCCTTTCTTTAATCCTGAAATGCTGATCTTAGCCTTTGGGTTGAGAAAAACCCATCCATCCTTAATCTGATATTTTAATTTCAGAATATTTCTTCTTCTCCTTCCTTTTCACCAATTAGCCAGCAGGAAGGCAGAAGCCGTCTCCTAGGACTGTGGGATCCCTGGCTCAGGGGCCAGGCAGAGCTGGAGCACTGGCAGAGAAAGCCTTGCACATCCTCCTGGCATTGCCCAGCACTTGGGTTGGCACAGCAGTGTCTGTGCCAGCCTGGCAGAGTCACAGCGGTGCTCCGGGATCGCTGGCACCTGCCTACCATGGCAGGGCAAGGCTTTGGGGTCAAGCTTTCCCATAAAATATGGACAGGACACCACTTGCACTGGGAGTGATAAATCAACGTGAAATCAACTAAGAAATGAGATATGGGATGGAGGAGGGGAGCAGGCCCCAGGGATCAATAGAGCTGTTTTGTGTTTAGATTGAGGTCTTCTCTTTCAGGACTCTCTTCTGTGACCCCGCATCTTCATCCTCCACCTTATTACTGTATTGTTACTCGCTACAATAATGACAAAATGTCCCATTATTGCTACTGCCATCAATAATAGCAGCAGTTTATCAGCAGTGTTTATTAAGTTAAATTCCATACCAGCATCTATCTTCTCCTCCCAACACAATTTATACATAATTTAAGATAGTAATGGAGGAGACAGAGAAAAATAGATGTCATCTTAGTGTATTTCAGTAGTTCCATTGAATTATTTCAAATTAGGTACCTTCAAAGAGATTTATATTTTGTATTCCTAAGCTAAGCCTTTTTTCCTGCTGCAGAAGCTGATTTTTGGGGTCTTTGTGCTGTCACAGTCTCTCAGTGTTCACCAGCTTTCCAGAATTGTCAAGCCACCATCCTAAAAATTTCACAATCTTTTCCTTTCTCTTTTTTCATCATCTTTTAGTCTGCTTTTGGAAGCAAATATTAAGCATTAAGAATCTTGAAATAAAAAAAAAATTCTCAGGAAAGGACCTGCTGGCAGTTTCCAAATAAAGACTTTGTGAATCCCACTGTGAAAGACTGTGGTGTTTCCCCACTTTGCCTGAACATTGTGAAGAGCTGTGTAATGCACTGAAGTGAGTAGTTGTGACCCCATCCATAGGCAAAACACAAGAGTCTGATATTTCTTCCAAAATCATTTTGTTTGCAGTAATAATAAAAGAATTCCTTACTTGATTTCTGTTTGTCCTCCTGCTTTTCGGGCAATTTGAACCAGCTCTTTCCCGTACCTCTCTTCCGCTTGTGCTCTGTTAAAAGAAAAACTCAGTTTCTCTTAGTGGTACCAGGATTACATTTACACAAATCTTGTAATTGTATCTGAGGTGCAAAACATCAGAAATGCAACTTATTTAATTTCTCTATCTCCTCAATCCTAGTGCTGTTAGTTAACCTCTGAAATATTTTAGTTATTTAAGTTATTTCTGGAAGAAATGAGATAAAAATGAAGCCCATCTGCATGGCTTTGATTACTGTGGAATGCTATGTACAGCTCTGCCCCCTAAACATGGATTCATGGGAAGAAGGAAGTGAACAGCGATGAGATGAAGTTGTTCAGGACAGAGCAAAAGGAACCTAAAAATGACAGCTGACTCGATCCATGAAAACACTGACTGTGAGGGGACTGAAGAGTAGTTTCCAAAGGATCCATTTAAGAGATGTTGAGAATAAATGGGAGCCAGGGATAGCAGGAATATTTCTGTCCCTTGAAAAGATGAGGCACTGCTAGAAGAGCTGCCATGGAAGCCAAGGGGGAAGGAGCCCTGGTGGCTGTGTGATTGGTGAAGCTGGGGCAGCTTTGTGGAAGGGACAATTTGTGGTATCTCACCTAATGGGGAACTGTAACTGGTGACTCAGGAAAGTGGTTCTGTTTCTATGGTTAATAAATACAAATATTCCTTTGCTGTTTTCCCTTCCCCCAGCACTGGAGGAAAGTTCTGTTCTCTTTAAAAAAAAGTATTTGTACTAAACAGCTTAGTTCCTTTCTCCTGGGTGCAAGCCCAGGGTAGAACCAAGTTGTCAATCTTTGAGTAGCTGCTAAAAACTATTGATGGTCAATAATAAATAACGAACAGATAGCCTGGTCCTAGCACCTGGGGGAGGGATGTTTTTGTTTAGGGTAGGTCCAGTTCTCAAAAGCAGTTTCAAAGCATTTCAAACTGTTTTGGCCTGACAGTTGGCACCTTAGAGAAATGTACTCTTTGTTCAAAAAATGAATTTGATGTGGGTGCAAGGCCCTACAACCCTGCTGGGATTTAGTCCTATCAGTCTTCCTGCTTGGCCAGGAGGTGCTTGTGTGTTTTTGCTGAGTTATAGCAGTTTGAGGGCTGCTCTTGAAGTTCTACCCCACGGCAGCTGTTGGGGTGGGTCCCTGAGATGGTCCCACCACCCTTCCTGATGCCCCTGGGCTTTGGGAGCACCTTGCCTCGTAGCCAAGGTGCTCAGGTGCAAATCCACCATCTCCTGGCACCCGAGGCAGGACTCTCCCCAGCCCAAGGAGATCAGTCAGGCTGCTGGAGCAGGAGTGCTGGCCCTGCAGCAGTAGCAGAGAGTGTTCCTGGCCCCTGTCCATGGCTCCCATGTGTGGAATGCTGCATGTGCTGCCCTCCTGCCCTCAGAACTGCTGTGTTTTAGTGGGGTGTTCCTACAGCAGTGCTTGGCATTCCTGATAGAGGAACAGGGTGCAAAATGTGGTGACAGGCCACACAGAGACACCACTTCCTTTTCATGTTAGATGAATGACATTTCATCAAAATGGAAATACACTCCAGACACATAGGGCTGCAGAAGAAGAATACATTAATTTTCCTCTGATTTCAGTATCAGGAAACACTTCTGTGTCAGAGGCTTTGCTTAGTGCCAGTGTAGCAATAAGAGTTACTTGTGCTGCAGTCCCACTTTTCTTGCTCAGTATACAAGTATAGCACGGGGAAAAAGCCTGGCCAGCTTTTACACCAGTGCCAGCTCCTGAAACCTCAGCATGTACTGGATTGGACTAGCCCAGGGTCAGAGGAATTTGACAGGAGGCTGATACCATCTGTTCACATCTTCATGCTGCTTTTCCCACTTTCCAGTACTCCTGCACACAGCTTCTAGGTTTCCCTGCAGCCATCCAGAGATGGAACATACTTTGTGTTTTAACCCTGGGCTTTGTTCTGGAATAAAATTGCTTTCTCACTCCCAAGCCTCTTAGGCCCTTCTCTGGGCCAGTTAGGGGGATTTATGGTTGGAAAACTGAGTGTTAATGTGGCCAGGGCCAGGGCAGCTGGTTTCAGGACTGCAGGAGTCATGGGCAGCTAGATAATAATAATCTCTCTAGAAAGAGAGATTCATCCCATCCTTTGATCTTCTGCTGGGTCATTCCTGTGAATGACGTGAAGATGAGCTGAAACAAACACCTGCCAGCAATAAACTGGAAATCACATCTTTGACTCAGTGCCCACTTCTGGTCTCCTTTTCCTCCTCCCCCAACAGGCACGTACACACACAGGCACACGCGTGCACACACTCCCTGCAATGTCTTGGGGGTGTAAAAAACGTCTTGGAAACTTTTCCAAAATGACTGTACATGTATTTTTTCTTCTTTACGGAAAGAACTTCATGCCTCCACCATAAACCAGGAAAAAACTCATCCTGCAACTTTCAGAAGGCTCTGCAATGTTTTGGAAGGAACACAGCTGTGTGCAGCATCCAATGCAGAATTGCACTGCCCAAGGCCTGCAGTGCAGTTCTGATCTCTGTAAGTTATGAGGCACAAAGATGCTGTTTTAAACAGTTGCATCTAAGCTGCCATCAGGCAGATGTGACTTCAGGACTGTGTGATGTATGCCAATATAACAGGCTCCCACTGGTGGTCTAGAAAAGCAATTTAAATAGCTTCAGGTTTTGATGGGACACTTCACACGCTGTGAAACAGCCACTTTTGAGTCTGACAGTTCACATTCCCTTGAAAGTCCCAGGGCTTTAAAATCAGCCATCAGAAAACCACCCTAAACCTAAGAAAACTAGATGGGGATAGTATGGGAAGAAAAAGCAGGAAGGCAGACCAATACTCATAAGGTGACAGTGCTGAGATAAACTGTTCTGGGATTGCCTGCTGGATATATAATCCATATTTATGTCATCTTTCCTACATGTCAAGCCTGAGGAAGTGTGTGCTTCATGCTACATGCTGAAACTGCTGAAGCCACTTAAAAACAGCACCAAATTTCAGAGCTGTTTTTCAAAGTCACACCTACAAAAATTAATGCCAAAGGATCCAGAGCAGCAGTGTTATTTTCTCACCCACAAAATTGTCAACTGTCCATAGCTGCTGTTGAGAAAGCACCAAGAAGCACATTATCAGGAACACAAACTACAACATCGTTACTCAAAGCCTGCTAAGGTTGGTGAACATCAGGGGCTGGTTTGGGTGTCTGGGTAAGGCTTTAGGTAGCATTTTATGTAGCTTTGTGTTTGAAAAACGTCTCATTTTTGGTACTGGCAGGAAACTGAAACAGTGCCTGTGGCAACAGCATGTTCAAAGAGAAACAAAAATGTGCAAGTCATTTTTGCCCTGCAAAAGGGAAAATTTAGAAATGTTACTTGTGGATGTAGGTGCTACTGTGTATTTCTAGACCCATAATGAAGGGTTTTAGTGGAGCTCTGGGTTTCTGACTCTTTCAACCTTCTCTTCCCTTCTCCTTGAGATTTCTATTTATCCACCTTCACATCACAAGGCTGGGATTCATATTACTCAGTCTTTTCTATGTAAGTTCATAACTACCAAACTGAGAAACAGCCTGCTATTCCCTTCCAGATGCCAAATGAGACAAAAAAGAAGGCTGCTCACACTTTTTTCACACTGATTTTCATACCTCTGCTTGAGCAAATCCTCCACATCTTTGCACATCTTCTTCCCCTCCAGTAGCCGCTGTACGAGCACCTCGTAGCCAGTGTGGAAGGTGAACTCCTTGCACTGAAAACAGAAAAAAAGGTAATAGCTGTTAAGCACATCAGTTCCTCTTACCTTAATTCTAATTCATATTTCTTAATTCCTCTTACCATATTTTCAGAAAAAAAGAGTCAGCTCAGTACAAATATCAGCCTGAGGGCAGTGACTGTGCAGCAGTGTTGTTTTAATGGGAGGATTTGTAGCACGGGGAGATAGGATTTCTATGTTCTACCCCTGGTCCTCCCACTGCCTCACAACAGGATCAGGACAAGCCATTTTTCCACAGGGAGCCTGAGTTAACCAGTACATAGAAATAGCATTATTGAAAATGTAGTGGTGAATGTTTTCTGAGCTTTATGTTTCAGCATTATGGTAAAATCACAGGCTGTGAAACCATAAAGAGAACGAGTGTGTTCCTTCCCTCAAGCAGTTTATCTACAATACAAGCCCTTATATATGAACTGAATGCAGTTTATACATGCATCCACTGTCCCCTAAGCAGTTACCATTTAATAAATGGGTTGCTTTATTGCTTTCCACCACCACTTGTGAAGAAGACAGCTGTTTAAGTTTTGGTACTTGGAAAAGATCCTCTGGCAAGCAACTGCTTGGGCACTTGAGCTTGTGCCTTTGCTTCCTTGTTGCTGGGACTGGAGAGGAGCAGGGGAGCTCTGGGGGTGGATGCTGGTGGTTGTTGGAAGCCTCGCAGGCCTTGGGACTTCTGGAGATTTGCAGATCTAGGAACAGGGGTTTTTGGTTCTTCAAGAGCTAGGATAAATTTCTGCAGACAATCCCTGTAAACCTACAGGTTGTAGTAACATTTCCAGTGCTACAGTTCATTGTAAAAGCCATCACCCCTGAAGAAACAGGATCTCAAGCCCAAAACATTAGTTTTCCTAATGTTTCCAAGGGTAATTTACACACACATCACAGGGAGGGATCCTGCTGTGAAATAAATGAGAAGCAGCAAGTTTTGCCATTCAGAGAGAAAAGCAGGAAAAGTTCTTGATAATACTCTGGCAATGAACTTAGCACTTCCCCCCTCTCTCTTGTTTTTGAGGACATTCCAATGGCAGAAGGCATCACTGCTGTAGAAAAATTACTATAAATGTCTCTCTCTGCCTGGCAGAAACTCTGGTCAGATGTTCCACAACCAACTCACACCCCCAGCATTTTAATTGTGTATTTTCAGATGCAATCAGCTATGTCCCACAGCTGTGCACACAGCTTTCTTGTCCCAGAAATGCTGCCCATGAGGTAAGTGAAAATACCCCGTGGGTTGGTATCACCCCAGCAGTCAGCCACTGCCACAGGCAGCAAAGGCAAAGTGATAGGCTCACTGTGAAGCTAGTCTGCCTTTCTGTTCAATATCTCTCTTTGCTCAGTAAATCCTAAAACTCACTTGGTGTCTTTCCCCACCTCTTTTAAAATGGCACTGTAACAACTGTAAAATCATGTTACACTGAAAGGATGACAAATTCTTTATGTCTGAGAGAAGGCTTATTAAATTCCCTAAACTGAGAGTGCAACCCCAACTTGTTATCAACGCAAAACCACACACACAAACACAGCAGTGTGCTGGGGGGCAGCCTGATGGGCTGAGTCCATCAGGCACTTTCCTCAGGCCCCTGGAAGCATCACTGCCTCACTGCCTGCCAGGTTCCTCTGGGGTTTCTTCCTCTGGCTGGTCCTTGTAGAGAGATTTGGCTCCTAGGAAGGACTTCTACCACAGACACTCATGTAATCTATCTTGTTTTGAGGGGCATTCATCTCACAATTTGCTTTCTTGTCCTCCTCTGTGTTCCTGAAGAACGTGGAGGCCCTGTTTCAGAAATGCCAGGGTCAGAAACCCAAACCAGGGCTCGCAGGCAGCAGCTCTGGCTGTGCTCTGAACAGCTCGTGCCACCCACCCAGGCTGCAGAGGGAGCGAGAGGAAATGCCACAGCCAGGCTGAGACAAGTGTGAGCTGCTCTGGTCACTCATCCTGCAGCACTGCTTCTTAATTTCCAACCACAATGCAGCTATGAATCACTCAGGCCTCAGCTTGCACAAATGTTTCCCTTTCATTTTAACAGCTCTATTTCTTCTTTCACGTGTTGTACAACTGCATCCCCTCTCAACATCTCCTTGCATCCAAACAAACCTCCTTTGCCCTTTCCTGACATTCTGCTTTTTCATCCCATTGATTCCCTTCTGTTGTTATAGCACCTGTTCAAGGTTGAATAAATCCCTGTTGGACAAGGATGATGCTTTACCACTCCAGTAAAGAATAAGTGGTGCTTTGTACCGTGGCATTAATGTCAGCTCTCCAAGAAACACTTGTGGTTCATCAGAGGATTGCATTTGCCTTCTTCCACTATCAAATCATAGCAGTGGCACTCAAATGAGCTAAGATCTACAGATATACCTGCAATTCTCTCCTCTTCTGCTGTTTTATTCAACAAGGTCTCAGTGTATATTGGATTTTTTTCACTACTGATCTCTTACTCCCATTTTGTACTTTGAAACTTTGATTTTTATCTGTTTTCTGTTACTCCAGGCTGAAAGGTTATCAGATACCTCCTGTACAATATTTCATTCTACCTGTTTATTTCAAGCACAGCTATTTGCAGCCCATTCTTCATGTCTCATGGCAAGATCCAGCACCTCACCAGATCAGTGTGTTTGCCCACTTTAGAGTTCTTCCCCTGCTTTGTCTGTTCAGTCCCATTTTGTTTTTATCTAGTGTCTTAAGGATTTCCTGTGTAACACCATAAGTGACCCCACATTTTCTTTGTCAAGACAATCAGACAGCAAGGCTGGATCTCGTTAAACAACTGTCTAGCCTTGCTAAGCTGTCTCGCCTCTATTCTATTTTCCATTTACCATTTTGTGTTATAATTAGCACCCGCATTGAGTGGTTTTGCAAAAGCTGTTAAGCTGCACTACTCAGACAGTGCTTGGTACTTCTCAGAAAGGATTTTGTGATGATTCTAAGAACTAATGAATAGTCAAAGAACTATTATTTTTTTTTTTAGAAATCAGAAAAAATGCTTTAATTAGATAATAAATATAGTCATTAAATGTGTAAAATATCATTTGCTTATACTGAAATCTAGTTGCTTGGAAGAGGGTGATTTAACTCACCACCAGCAATTTCTCTCATTGTCAAGAAAGGGATTCTCAAAGTGTGTGTGGCTGTGAAAGAGGATTTAATCCTTGTTACTAAAAAAGATTAGCTATTCCTTGTTGTCCAACAGGCCTATAATCACGAACAAGAAAGTGCTTGACAGGGATTTCAGTGTTGTGAGCAGAGCTGTGTTCCCCTAACTCTGCATGTGTGCTCTGGTCTCTGCCTGGGGATTTTCTTCTTGTTTTCTTCTTGAAAATCACAGGTAAAAGAGGGGCAGCATTTCTTCTCTTCCTAGTGACAAAAGTTGCTTCCCTCCAGTGCAATGAGCAACACTGTTCCTTCAGAGACAAAAGAAATGTGGAGGGGAGTATATGACTGAAACCCACAACTTCTGTGCTCTAGTTTGAGCAGAACAGCTTATCCTAGAATACTTGGAAGGAGGCATGGAAGCCTGCAAGCAGTGGTGAAGACAGTGAGCACGCTGGGATACCCATTCCAAATGTTAATTGTGGGAGAGATTAGTCAGGGCTGGCTCTGAGCTGGTTCCCACAGCCATCAGGGAGAGCCTCTAAGGATTTGGAATTTGGTAATGAAGGCTGCAAGGGAAGACTGGGAGTGTCAGTTCCCTGCCTAGAGGGTAGAAAGTACCAGGATTGCTGGGGGGTGACAATTTCCTCTTACCTTCTGGTGACACCAAGCTGGGTAATCTTGTGTCTTTAGCAACTCACTGAGAATCAGCCTTATTCCAGAACATATTCTTCTGAGCCTTGTGCTGCTGGGTGCCCAGAGGGAACTGTGAGGCTTTTTGAAGTACAAGAGTTTACATTTTGAAGTGACAAGGCTACTATTGCAATAATATCAGAGAGGGAAGACTAAAATTCTGTGCTCATTACTGAAGCAGCTTTCAGTAAATAGCTTTTCCAATGCACTGGAAATAAAATCATCCAAACTCATGTACAAAAACCTATGGTACACCCTGCACATCCAGCTGGTGATGGTCACAGTGACATGACCTCATCAGGTCATTGTGGCTGTGCCATAGCAACTCTGGGCTTTTCTGCTGTGGCTGCTTTCCTTGGGGCATTTCTAATTATGCTGGCACCTGAGCTGCCCATCCAGGACCTTGTTTAGAGGTAGTTTACATACCACAACTCAAACCTCTCCCTGCTCCTGCAGGATTAGCTGGCTTGGCAGCACCTTAGCATCTCCCCCAGGGCAGCCGCTGCTGCTGAAGCCGTGTGTCCTGTTTGGGGAGTGTCAGGGCTCCTCCTGGGCTTGCTGCAGTGTTCTGGGAGCTGCAGCTCTGCTTCTCAGCATGGAAGGACTCATCCCAGCATCTCCTGCTGCAGCACCTGCTCACCTGCTTTCTGTACAGAACCGGGTCCAGGTGGTAACAGGGACAATAACCCCAGGGTACAGCAGGGCAGCGGCACCACCCTGATGGGGAGAAAGGGCTGGAAAAGGAAAAACTCCACAGCAGACACTGGGTGCATTGCTCAGTACCCAGCAGGACAGAGCTGAACTGTTATGGTGATAAACAGAGCATCAAAATCCACACATGGTACCTGCTCTGCACCTCTCAGGGGGGCCTGGAATGAGCACTGACAGACACAGCAGAGCTCTCAGAGGGTCTTTCAGCCTAACCTGCCCTCATTTAGGAATCATTTGAAATGTATTATCTGCCAATATTAAAAAAAAAAAAAAATATATATATATATATATATATATATATATATTTTAAAACCCCCACACTTTCTCTTAAGTTTAAAGTATTTAGTTAGAAAAGTCCAGTCCTCGTCTAGGTTCCTAATGATATTTTTCCAAAGATTGAATCAGAAGTGTTCTCACATGGTTTTGGACTGAAAATGCTAAATGTTGCTACCTGATCCAAATAAACTATTAATACAGATTT